TTTTTAAAGAAGTGTAGTATGTCCCAGATTTTCTACATGATCAAAAAATTCAGTTAAAATAAAGTTAAAAGTCCAAACTCTACTCCCTACTTCACCTTTTCTAAAAGCCATCCGGTGGGCCGGATTGGAGTGGTCGTCCTGGCTGATTTTGGACACTGGGCCTTATGTTTGACACCCCTGATTTCTATGTGTTTAAGTTTGTGGTTGTAAAGTCAAAGTATGACAAGTTAGTGGCTCTCAGAGTGACTGGAACTGTCTTAAGACTATAACTGAAAAGAAAATCAGTCAAGTTGTCAGACAAGAGTGAGGCTAGAAATCTTTGAAACAAACCGGAACAATCCAGAGGTCAAAGCAGACTCACAAATGCTGCACGGACTGTTAGATAGGTTAACTGTATGTCCGACGAGGGAAGAGGAAATCTAGAGTCAAAGGGCGGGACCAGATGGTTTTCCAGTTGATCTGCATTAAAACATCTTTGATATTTCCATATTTTATGAGTGTTGCCCTGTTTTTAACCAGGCAAAAATCTGAGGCCAACAAGTTTGTTAAATTCATCTTCGTCCACTTTTCCACTTCGGGGTCGGTCAACTGTCGTAAGGCAAAAGGCAGCGTACACACTGGACAGGTCGCCACTATCACAGAGCTAACACACACACAGTGAGCCGAACACACTCTCGTCCAGTTTAGAATTCCCAATTAAAGTATAAACCCATGAGAGAAAAAGTCTGTAGAAATAACTACAGTAATTTTGGTTGCTTCATTTTTTCTCCCTGAAGGCCAAAATATGCCCGTCCTAACTCAACGGTCCCATTTATCTAGGACAAGGATTACACTAGCTCGTGACACTGGTTACTAAATTTGAGATACAGGACTTCAACCTTTAGGCCAGGGGAAGTCCTGCAGTGGCAAAAAGCTCAGAACTGATCTGGGTGGAGGTTTAGGAACAAAGATGAAATGTTAGGCACTGGACAAGAAAAAAAGATGTCCAGAAAGGTCAAAGATGCAATTCTATGCTGTGAAACACGAATGAACTAAGGAAAATAGCTTTTTAAGTATCTTTGTATTTTAGCTCTAATTAAGAAACTTTGTTCTGTTAAAGTAAAAATTACAAAAAAAAAGCTAATAATAATAATAATGGATTGGATTTATATAGCGCTTTACAATGCCACTATTCATTCACTCTCGCATTCACACACTGGTGGAGGCAAGCTACGGTTGTATCCACAGCTGCCCTGGGGCAGACTGACAGAAGCGAGGCTGCCATATCGCGCCATCGGCCCCTCTGGCCAACACCAGTAGGCGGTAGGGTAAAGTGACACAACGACCAGGACAGAGAGACCGGGGATCGAACCGGCGACCTTCCGGTTACAGATACGCTTCCCAACCCCCTGGACCGTGGCTCAGGGGGTTATTTCCACTAAACTGGAAATAAAACATGTAATTGCTTATATAGAAACTTTCTGCAGCAAACATTTCAATGTTTTACATCACCGGGTAAGGTCAGGGGAAGCTTCAGATGATTACATCAGCTACTTTTAGAACATAAAACTTCCCAACTTGCATTTGTTTGACATATGACGAACAATGAGAGTCAAATTAATAAAAATAATGTAATAATTAAAAAAAAAAACAAACAAACAATGGTGCCTATAAATAACATTTATTATGAAGATGAATGAATCACCAATCTTCAAAGTTCAGAAGAATAAAGAAAAGATATATAATATTGAAAACATTAAAATTTATTTGTCTAATTATTTATTTGTCTTGATTAGCTTCAATTCACTTCTAGCTACAGAAACTTTTATTCATTTTGATTGAAGTTTTGAGCAAAAAAAGCCAAAAACAATAAAAACACAGAAATATTAAAGTGCATCAAAAACTTTTATTTTTCATGAGTTTGAGGTATAAAGAATAAAAACTTAAATGTACTTAAAAAATGAAGTATCTTTAAAAGTCTTCATGTCATAGTAGAAAAATCCCATTTTTACAGCATCAGAACAAATTGCACAATCATTTCAGAATAATTCAAACACAACATGATTCCTTCTTATGACACGAGTGTGAAAAACACAGAGATGTCTTCAAAGTTTGCTTTTTGTTTTGGTCAGAACCCAACGGGCTGGGTTTACAGTCATTTGGTGCACCATACAGTTCGAGATGACGAAACCAGTGCAGTGTCTTTGTGTTAAAACTCCAACCAAACAGTGAGTGTCAAGAAGCTGGAATGACCTTTGGTGCAGTGAAAGCCATGAAGCAGCTTGCTTTAGAGGTTTATGTGTCTGCTCAGTGAACCCGGCTGTCGTCACACAGATGGAAACCTCCATCCACTGGGCTAACAAACAATGGTAATCCGGGCAGGCCACCCTGCTTGATACAGAAGTTTTAAGTTCATTGAAGAACAGCAGCGGGAAGGAAAAGACGAGATACGGTCAAGTTGAAAGAACAGTGACAGCAGGAAAAGCGGTTAGGAAAAAAGCGACAGGCCCGATAACCTGAACGCACCAACAACTGTCAAGTGAGGGAAATGAAATCTTCATCTCGGGGCCAGAGATGGCGAGGCTGTGAAAGAACGTGAAGTGTTAAGCAAATGAGTTAAGGCAGTATCATGGTTTAAGCTGGTCAATGGCTCCTCTTACTGGCACGCTGTTAAAATAAAGTAAAAGTATGCGTTAGTTACAGATGTCTCTCTGTTGTACTCGCACCTGAGATGGCTGGCGGTCACGTCAGGTGAATCAAATCTCAACTGCACCATCGTGCCACCAAGTGTGATCAAACAAAGAGCACCACAAGAGCAAGTGTGGGACCACACCAGAGGTGTTTCATGCTTTTACTCAACCTCTTAGTTAATGACTGAATCAGTCACAGGTCATTTAACACTTTTCTTTAGTTTTCCTGTTAAAAGGCAGTTTTTCCCCTCCACTGTCACCAAGTGCTCGCTCATAGGGGGTCGTCTGATTGTTGGGCTTTTCTCTGCATCGCTGTAGGGTCTTTACCTTAGAATATAAAGCGCCTTAAGCAAACTGTTGTTGTGAATTGGAAGTCTACAAATAAAACTGAACTGATATTATCTGTAAAAAATAAAAAAGATCCTTGAAGAATTCCCTGCTCAGAAAACAGGTTGATTATTTTTCTAGCAGAACAACAAAGGCTTTGAGAAACTGGGTGAGGTTATATGATGTTAAATGACCAGATAGGTTTCTGGGAAAAGGCCTCAGATGATTACATTAGCAACATAAACAGGGGATACTTTTAGCAAATTAATATAAACAGCCTGCTTAATTTCAGGTCACTCGCAAATGCACTTTGTTGATTGACTAAAACATGTTAAACCTTTGGTATGGCCTCTTAAATTTGCTTTTAAAAATGCATTTGTCACTCTGCTCCATGGTAGAGGATTTGATCTGAAGAAAAAGACAGAATTCAGTGATTAATTCAGCGACTCTGCACCTTAAATGTACCTGTTAAAAAAAGTTACAAGTTAGTGCTGTGCAAAACTCAACCTTTGACCCAAATATGCTAAATATTCTCACTATAATCATCAGCAGCCTTTATGGAGGTTTCTTATGCAAGCATAAGAAAGCTGCATTCACATCTGACAGGCAAGCCCTTCTATGTTAAATACCTACTACAACCATATGAGGTGGCATGTTTGGAAAAACATGCTGTAGCTTAAATAAGCCTTTTTTCCCCCAATTAAAATTAATCACTTTTAAAAATTCACAGTACACGTCTGTATGAAATTCTTCACATTAAGGTACAAGATAAGATTCAATATGAATCTGTTCTGGCATTAAAAGACCTGACGTCTTATAACAATATGACTACGACCTGGCATTGCCGTTACTCTTTCAAATCCACAGGATTTAGCGTAGCACTAAAACTCGAGCAAGTAACCCACAACATGAAAGACAATAAATACATAACCGTCAATACACAGAAAAAGCTCAAAAATGTCAAACAAAAAAAGAATAAAACATAAATAAACCAGATTTCTGCAACATACAAAAAAATAAATAAAACAATAAATAATTTAAAGAAACGGCAGAACTTGACTGTTTATATGAAGAAGAGGAAATTTGGGGGACCGAATACTTTGGATACTTGCTGAGAATGTACTGGTGGCTTATTTTAAACCTTTATGGATTATTAGTAACTTCAAGTAACATAAGGGAAATACCACTAAATTTGTGATGTGATTCAACACATGCAGACAGGACAGAGAAGCCAATTAGTACACATTTCTCAAACCGCAAAATCAGGGAGGTTAATCTGTAGCGCCACCTAGAGGCACAGCTGGGAACAGACTTCCAGACAGATTAAAAGAATAAAATAAAAGCGGTGACCTTTTTTTGGCATAAAACTCGTACTTTTTCCCTACCAGCCGAGTAGCAATGCTTCTCATTTTATGGAGCTGCACATTCAGATGACATCAATGCTAAATTTTCAGGCCAAAATTTCTCATTTAAGGAAATAAATTCAGTGATATTCCCCTTCAACTTTGAGGTAGTATCTGTTGCCATAATACTGCTCATTTTTTGTTTTGGGGTTTTTTTTTTTGCATCTATAAACCTACAAAATCAAAAATTACTTTAAAAAGTGGTTCATCCCAGGAAAATACGCAAGTTTCCAAACGCATTTGCGTCATATGTTGCATAGTTAAAACCCCCAAACTTACAGAATACGTTAAAAAGTACAAAAGAGTAGAAAGTGTGGCACAGAAGATGAAAACTACGTTATCATAAAGGCACATAACACATGGACATCACACACAACCACACGTCTTTGGGCTAAAGTTCAAGTGGCTTCACATACCTGCATGTTCACGGTATATTGGCCATATTTTTATTTACACTTTTGTTTTTGGTTATTTGTTCGTTTTTTCTTTTTACCTTAAACTTTTTGTCAAATGTATTGTTTAACACAAATGTGGTCCAGTCATTCCTCGTTTGAAAATACAAACAAAATACTTGTAAAAATGACTTGTATCTGGACACTTCAGCATATCCTTTACATATAAAAGCTGTTTTTCCTGATACAACGTGAGTGAACTCAAAAAAATTTAACGAGTTAAATATCGAGTGAAAGCCTGACTTATGCACATGATCACTACGCGGGTAATGGTTGCCCCCTCTCGTTGTTCTGTCTCGTCCCTTTGAATAATGCATATAAAACAATTTCAGTCTTCGATGTGAAAAAACGTCTGCATTTAAACTTTTAACACATTTTTACAACTACAGTACACAAACAATTTTGTGATGAGGAGAAAAAAAATCTGAATAACAAAAAAATTTAAAATGTGACGAGCTAGTAAGTGATGCCTTGGAAAAAATGTGTAAAACTGACAAAAGAGAAATTAGTGTATTTAGGAAATGTATCTCTCTACAGTCTCCAGGGCAAAGTATTAAGGTGAATTTTGTTTATATTTCCTCCTCTTTTATCCAAACTGACCACTCTGCGTGAAGCAAAAACAGTCTGCTGTGCAGCTTACTGATCAATAAGGCACCAAGCTGATAGTCACTCAAATTTGGGTAAATATTTCCAAACTTATTCCAATTCCAGAGGAGAGTAAGGAATGTATCCTCGAGGAACTTCACAGAAATGTCTGTTTATCCTGCAGAGAACTGGAAACAGTTCTTTTCCATCTACCAACAATGTCAAATACCCTGCCAAGCTCATTAAAAAGAAAGAAAGAAAACTCAAAAAACATGTCTACATACTCACTGGCACAAAGCACACTCGGCACAACCTAAATCTAACTACTTCATAATCAGACATCCAACTAAAATGCAGGTCAAACAAGGCATGAAAGGTTCATCCACAATGTTTTCTAGTTAACAGTTAAAAGCTGAGTAATAACCAACTAACTTAAACGAGAGAGAGAGAGACAGGGAGAGAGAGATATAGAAAGGACTTAGTAAGCAACAATAAAACTGAAAAACAGGAGAAATCAACTCAACAGTGCCCACATTTACAATTCTTTAAACCACAGGGAATTTAGCAAAAAAATAATCACAGCCTGCTATGACATCTTGAATCACCACAACCAGGACACCTCTCTGCCTATATGCAGGAACCCCACTAGGTAGTGCCATAGACCAAAAAACAGACTTCACAGCTACCCGAATGCAGGGCTACGAGAGAAAGACTGAAACACCAATAGTGATAAAATACTGCCATCTACAGACAGGGGAGACCCACTGCATGAACAGGCTGACCGCATCCCACCACAACCAGTCCCCCTGCATGAGCACCACACCACTAATAACATAAAAAATTCTATTAAGTGGTCACGTTAGAATCACAGCGTTCAAGTGTCATTTGTCACGAAGGATTTCACTAAAGAGGGGAGCAACCATTATCCCGTGACGAGCTCTACTTATAGTGTCCGTGTCAGATGCAAAATAAACATTCCTCACAAACTACATTGAAATAGCAGAAGGTATCCAGTATCTCTCCAGTGCCATTTTCACAACTGCAGACACTTGGTAGAAAAAGTCAAACACAGGCATGCTCTCAGCTAAATGTCTTTGTGTTCACTGTCCCAGCTCGATGGGAGACGACTTGATGAATGATGTGCAGAGGCGTTGAATGTTAGTGACCCCCAAAAGAAATGGAGAAGTATCTGTAGACCAGGTTGGAGCTGTGCAGGAGACCCTCCGGCGTTGGGAGAGAGCGACTTCTTGCAAAAGGACCCGCTGGCTTTATAACGCTCCTCATCCGTCAATCAGCGACACATCAATGTGGGACAAATCAATCATGTGCCTGTGTAGTAATTGTGATAACAATGTTTGAGCCACTGTGGATGGAGATACCTATGACACTGTACAGCAGCTAAACTGGAAAATAGAAAAGGTCTACTGGAGTATGTCTGACATGTTTACAAAGATAAAAGGAAGGAGGTGTGTTCAGTACCTGTGGAAGCTCATTTGGAAACTTGCTGCATGTTGGGGACTGGAAAATGTAGCAAATGCTTTCCTCTGCTGGGGCATCATTTTGAAAGTCTGCAAGTGGATAAAAATGGGGGGAAAAGGCCCAACTAAATAGAAGTGCATACTCCTTTCCTCCACAAGGGGGAGCGGGGGTGGTAACAAGAAAGGGAATAATCAATTGGATCTTCAAAGCTAACCTACCGAATCACTACAACAGAGGGCGCTGTGGGATTGCAGATAAAAAAAAACGCCATTGCTGTCACTGGTGGGTGCCACTAAATATGTGGTTTCTAAGTTTTCAGTGTGAAGTAGGGCGTCAAGATGACCAAAGTGATCGGCAATATCTCGCCAATTCTTACCTAATTTCCTAATTTAATCTTTTAAATAAATAACATAAATTATTCAAAACTGAATCTACCTCGCTACAGTTTCATGTCACATCACATATAAGCAAAACTTGCAAACGCAGATGTGTCTGGGTGTGCACGGAGATGTGCACGCAAACACACGCTCAGACTTCTGCACACTTTAAAATTAATGTGTGTATGCAGCATCGTCATACGAGGGGGGATTTTTCAATTTGGAGAATAATCTGACTAAACGTGCAGAGATACTCAATGAGCTCATTTCTTTTATTAATCTGGGGGGTGGGGGAGGGAAGACCCCCAAGATTAATAACTTAGTGTATCTATACACATGTATACTCTAAAAGGATCCACTTTAACCTTCTCTGCCAAACTACCCTAGTAGCAATGCTATCAGTGACTGGCAATCCCTAAAGGGTTACAACAGGACAATCTGACCATTAAAGCAGATCACCTAATAGTGTGAGGTATGAGGCTTTAATGTAAAAGCAATGCATAAATTCAGCTTTAGCCAAGCCATGTCAACAAGGTATGAAAACACAATATAAATATTCTCCAGTGTGATGTATTTGGTACCCACCTTTATGGGGCCGATGGACCTCAGAAGGTTCTGAAGCTGCAAATCGGTTGTAGATGAGGAGAGGCCTTCAATGGACACAGTGCAGCGCTCACTCTCAGCAGTCTTTTGGCTCTGTCTGGTGGGCATCGGACGACCTCGACCCATCTGGCTACCCCCTCTACCTCGGCCCCGGCCTGACACAACAACCTAAAATCGATGGAAGGAGTCATTTTAAAAACAGGGAGAGAGACCACAGATGTACCAAGTGAAACTTCTCCTAAAAACGGGCACGCAGGTGCATTCAGCCGTGTGGAGAGTTTTCTGAGCACAAAGGCAAATTTTTAAAATTCTACACGTTTCCCTCTCACACCTCTCAGCCTTGTCACGCTTTCACATGATTGACTCGTCATATTTCTGCATTGAACATCAACATCAGAACACGATGCAAGCGGCGTGGCATATCTTCATATGAGCTTGTGAGTGAGAGATATGTTGCTTCGGCAGCAGAGGGGGAGGAAGAAGAGGAGGAGGAGGGGAGGAGGAAGAGAGGAGAGGAGCTAGTGGGAATATGTCTGTATGTGTTGAGGGGCGGGGGAGCATAAAGGGAGAGGAGCCATGCAAGCGTTATGGTGGCTGCCTTACCCTGTCAGCGCCAGTGAGTACGGCAACAGTGACAGGAGCCTGGCGGTGACAGGCGTGCAGAGAGGCCAGGGGACCTTGTGTAGTCCCCCTGTGTTACACCATTTTCAGCCTGTCAATACTCCCGCACCTGGCATACTGTCCTGTCTTATTACAACTCCTCGATTGGTACGTCTACTGAATGCCACAGGAGTGCCACTGGCACAGGACAACTTTACAGGAGTCATTTCAGCTTCTTTTATAGCAGAACTGCCATCGCATGTGCAGTGACCTCCATTAATAATCACATTTCAGGGAAAATTCTCTAGTGTCTACACCACAAAAGAAACAGAGCTCATTTTGAGCATACCCTGTTTTGTTGTGGGTTGCCCATGCCCCCGCGGCTAGCCTGTGACGGTCCACCTGGTCCCTGTTGCTGTTGTCCTGTCATGGTAACTTTCCTTTGGATGCCCTGGTTGAGCGTAGCTGCTGGCCAGGCGCCTTGTTCCTGTACTGGGCTGCTTGTGGCCTCAGGCCCCTTTCCACTCTGGTTGGGAATGACGGAGGGCAAAACTAATTTAGCATCTCAAAAAAAAAAAAAATTAATTATAAACTTTCCACTTTTTAAAATCACCTTATGCACATTAAGCATTTAGGGAAAGTGGTTTATGGGCAACTGGGAGAAATGCAAGGACATATCTACAACGTTAAAATCTGTCAGGACTGGACGCTGGATTCGTATCCGCCAGGCTGTGGAGAATAAAGATCAGCTCAACAAGGTGATGGTCTCATTATCAAATAAAGTCACAGCTCAACTGTGTTGACATGCAGGGAGGAATTGAAGGTCGTCTCCTCCCCGAGTCTGCAGAAAGATGTGACAGATCAATACAAGGGAAGAAAAGAGGCGATATCTCTGACCTGTCCCCAGCTGAGAATAAATGGATTAATCCCTCCTATAGAAATCACAGCTCCTGATTGCGCCCATCAAATGCTAAGCTGCATTACACTGAAACGACAGCAGCTCGATGTGTACCCCATCTCCCTTGCGCGCTCCCCTCCTCCCCAGCTTTTGTGTTTTGCACTGCTTTGTATTATCCCTGATGAAAATATAATTTGCCTCTTATCTGTGTGCCTAAGCCATACAAATCCAAATCCTCAAAAGTGGCAACTTTCTTACACAGGTATTATGTTTCTCCCCCCACCGCCACCACCTTCAACCAAAAAAGATTAATTACAAGAGTCTTGGATTGGCATCTTTTGTTGCTTCGCACCTGAGAGATGGGCTGAGGGAAAAAAAGCAACTGAGGGATGACAAGAAAGGGAGAGAGAGAGTGTGAGGAAAAATAAGGAAAGGAGATAACATTGTCAAGCTCCCGTTGATGACAGCAGAACAATGTGGAAGAGAGAGCACCTGGAGAATGTTCTTTTCACTGCTGCTATAGGGCCCTAGCCGTTTCTTTCCCTTTCCATCTCTCTCTCTCCCCACTTCACATCCCACTCCTCTTTTTTTCTCCAAGATGCGCTACATCAGATAGCTCTGCGCAGGTTTCCATTAACGCGCTGACACCCAGTTATCTTCATCTGCAGCCAGCCTGCGATTTTGGCTCGGCGGCTTGATCCTCTGGGATGAAGTCGAAAAGCAGCTTATTTCAAATACTATCATATCCCACCAACACATCTCATCAGTGACAAGTATGAATGTTTAACATGCACGCTTTTGTGGTTTTTCAATAAAGATTAATGTGCAATTAAGGCCACAGCAGTAACTTATCAAGCAAGCACAAAAACAGACAGCAGTGGTAATTCTGGACTTTACCGCCGTTACCGTCATTCTTATTTTACCCCCTCCGAGGCCTTTATCATTAAAAGAATACTCTTCTGTCCTGAAAAGAGGATATCAACCTTTAGAAGCAGTGATGAGGTGTCCCCAACTCTACAGATAAATGTCATATTGCTCTCTTTTAATGCCTCCAGCCTTTCTGTGTTCTCTAGGTAAAATGTATGTAAAGGCACTGTGGCTTAAATACCAGATCCCAAAGCTTAAGAGAGGAAACTCTTAACAGATCAATTTTTCCAAAATGACACAGACATCACTATGTCATTCCCATAGGTTAGATATCATCTGGACTGCAACACAGACAGTGGGGGCAATCAGTGGCATTTCCTTTCAAAACTGTGTAGTTTCCCATGTGGGTAAAATCTGCTGAAGAGGATCAAATAAATGTCAAACCAAAACAGGCAAAGAGGTGTAGGATAAAAATTAAATCATATGCTCACCGCTCCTGAAAGTTTGACGACTCTGACTTTTTGCGGCACCTGCTGGCGCTCGAAGCTAGTACTCCTTGCCCGCTGCATCACAGTTCTTTTAGCGCCGAGTTTAGGTCCTTGAGCCTGAGCCAGGGCTGGACTCGCTGAAGGAGTATCAGGTACGTTCCTTTGAGGAACTTGAACGGTTTGGATCGGAGCACCAGATCGGTTTACGTTCTGCAAAGCGCTGTTCCTTCGCTGCTGCACTGGCTGCAGCTGATTTTGTTGGGGTTGCTTAACAGGCCGGGCAGGCTGTTGCTGCTGAATGCTGCCTTTTACCATCTGCAGCCGTGTCTTGACATTGGGACGGGGCGCGGGGGTTTGAGCAGCACTGCTGGGAGGGATGGTGTTACCTATATTGACAGTCTTTAATGTGGGATTTACTGATTGTTGTGTTCTCTGAGGAAACTGTCTTTGCTGTTGCGGTTGTGGTTGTAGTTGCTGTTGTGGTTTGTGTTCTAGTGGTGGTTGCTGCTGCGCCTGTTGCTGCTGCTGCTGCTGCTGTTGTGCTGGAGGTACAGGGTGCGGTATTTGCTTATTTGGTTGCTCGGGCTGAGCTTGTGTAGTAGTGGTGCCTTGGCTTGGTGCCTGGGCATTAAGTCTTTCAAGCAGCTCCTTCTTCCTGACACCAGCCTGCATCTGCCGTCGCATCTCCTTCCTCTTTAGAATCTCCTCTCTCAGACGCTTCTGCTCCTCAATCTTCAGACGATACTGCCGTGTCTCCTCATCCTCATCAGGATCCTGTAGCACAAAACACAAGCTGGAAATATGCCTGCCACACTTCACTTCCTGGATGTAGCACTGTGTCTTATTTTAATCATTAGTGCTTGGGTTGCGCATTAAGTCTAAAGCATGTGAAAATGTCATCAGCAAACATATGATTTGGTTTTTGGTGAATTTTTAGCACAAGTAAAAATCCAAAGACTTTAGTATACGGCAAGTAATTTTTTGTACTTATTACACACATCGATGTGTTTAGATTACATTACTTTAAAAAATAATGTATAGTATTATTATTATATATTAATATTCCCCTGTTTTTACTGGCATCTAGTAGTATGTAATGCAATAGTACTACCAGAAGGTGGCAGCAATGAAATTATAAGTTGTCTGCCAGTCTCCTCCAAGCCTATTATAAATTCTAACTAAAACAGAAGAATACCGCCTTCACCAACAATTACTAGACACACATTAGATGCTCTGATACAAACAAAAAAAGAAAAAAACATCTATGGCCATTAAAAAGTTCTAAAGAATGAATGACAACAACGCCCACTCCATAGTTTTCCAGGTATATAGAGCATATATATCCACAGTCATATGAGAGTGGGTGCCGAGGGGTAAAATTTGAATAGTCAAATAGCTTCCTATGACTACTTTAGAGTATTTTAGCTTGAAATGTTCATCTCTAACACTGATTTCCTTCTTTCACTTTTGGGACACGAGCTTAAGATGGTTTGAATTTCATGATGCAGGAAAAACAATGCTGTAAATAACATTTTTGACACTGTGTTATATACCAGAGGATTTATAAAAAAGTGTATTTGGGAAAAAAAAAAATCATCACATTACTATAAACACATTATGTATTATCCAAACACGCTCATTTTTTTAAAATGTACTTTTTTTGTCCTTGTCTCTGACAAAAAAAACAAACAACAAAAATGCGATCTTCGAGTCCTGACCTGTGGTGTCACGCCGGACGGCGTGCGTGGAATTTCCTTGCGAACAACTGTCCTGCCTGCTCCCTCAGGCTGTGATTCAGTCTTCGCAACAGCTTGGCCTCTTCCTTTGCCACCGTCAGGCATCGGCTGAGTGTTCTGCCCAGGACGCATCCCCTGTGTTGTCCTGGCAACAGGCTTGATGTTGGCAGCGGGGGAGGTGGGGGTGGTGGCAGGGCGGGCGCTGTTCGTGTTTGTGTTGCCAGGTGCTACAGGGAGCTCACGTAGGTTGCTGTTGCGCTGCTGCATTTGCTTGGAGACAGGTGTGTTCTGAAGAAAAGGCCAAATTTTGTGTTTTCAAACCATTTAGCTCAGTTTTTATTTACTGATTAAAAATAGACGCGATACATATAACAACGATGGCAACATTTTATTCTTTCATTCTTAAACTGCGACCAGTTTAAGAATAAAATAAATGAGATAATATGTTAATCACTCACCATTCTCTGCCTGTTAGACATGTGGCGCTGTTGGGGGTTCAGAGGGCGGGGATTCATCTGCCTTGGGCTGCCATGCCCCTGCTGCTGATGGAAAGGATTCTGGCCATGGTGCATCATGGGGCGAGGCTCACCGAGATTTAGCTGCGGCTGCGGATGGTGGGGTAAGTCCTGCCTATGGTGTTGCTGCTGCTGGTGCATGGGCTGATGGGGTGACAGCGGATCATGATGTGGAAGCTGGGAAACAGGAGGGCCGTGCATTAAGCCCTGAAAAATCAGGAGGAAAGGAAGAAAAGCTCAATGAACACATCTTTTTCTGAAACAACAGAAACTGCACTAGTTTTTCTGAAAATTGTTCCCAACATTGGAACGAGCAATTTCTACATAATTGAGCTCTAACTTGTGTCCACATGCATCCAACTAAATAGTACTAAAATAATGCTTTAATCACTAGAGGGCGCTCTTGTCTATGTCTCCAGTCAAAATGCAGCAGTACCAAACACAAGAGCCTCAACACTTTAGCAGCAATGAATATGATTACTAGTCAGACCAAATTATTGAATTTAGAAAGCACGTCTAACTGTGGTAGAAGAGGAGAAAAAGGGTTAAATAAACAAACATTCACTAAACAAACACACACAAATACACACAGACATCTAGTGGTTATAGAAATCACTTACTCTTAGTCGTACCTGCATCCCAAACGGAACTTGTGTAGGAGGGAAAAGGTTCCCCTGTTGGCCAAAAGCTTGACGAGGGCCCATGAAAGGCCTGGGCTGGTTGGGGGGTCCACCTTGTTGATTTAAGTTCACCATTCCCGGGTGATTTTGGTGGGGAGGGATGTTGTGTCTTGGGGGTTCTCTCCCAAACAGTCCAAGCGGGCCCTGGCCCGGGTGGTTGAAGGCTGGTCCTGGTGGGCCGAAGCCCATGTGGCCCTGGCTGGGCAGCTGCTGCTGGTGGAGGTTGTTGCTGCTGTTCATCAGAGGGCCGGGGCCCTGGTGATCAAACATGTGCTGCCCTGGAAACCGTGTTGAATCTGTGCGCTCTGTTTCCACATGAGGAATAACAACAACGTAAGGGAGATGTCAGCTTTCTTTCCTTGAGACTACACCGGTAACTAAGACTCCGGATGTATACTGTTATAGCATGAAAAACGGATACAGCCAGCTCTCTCAAGGTGAACGGAAAAACAAACATGTTGGTTATTAACTCTGCAAATGAAATATGTATAATGCCATTTCCAGGTTTCATTCGGACGTATATAAATATATACACACATGAATTCTACATGAGTTCTGCTAACCAGAAAGCTAGCAGCATACCCTGTAGGTATAGCGCCAGAGGTGATGATGAACAGGGTTAAATATGCTAAGAGAGCTTTGTTATCCTCATCAAGGCTGGATGTGAGACTCACCTCCCATAAAGAGGGGTTCTCTGTCCTGGGGGCCTTGAGGTGGCTGGTTCCTAAAAGGCTCCATGTGATGAGGGGGCCGCTGGGGCTGACCAAAATTACCAGGCATGTGCTGCTGAAAGTCTCCCGGTCCCTGGGAAAACACAAAACTCATGAATTATAGGCCATTCTGGGAACTCAATAATCACAAACAAATTAAACTAATGAAAAATGGGAATTTGTGAGGTATTGCATTGGGCAGAAAGCGCTTGTAATTGAGGTACTAGGGTCATTAAAAAGATGCAGAATCTTGAGTTGTAAACATCAATATGCATGCCAATATTAAAGAAACCCTTCAGCATGAATTTGTGAGCAAACCTGCATTAATGCTACTCGGGGCTTCTAAAAGGCTTTTTTTCTAACAAGGAAAGGGTATTTCAGGAGGGGATAAGTGCCCTCATCTTTGTTTCAACCACTTTGTATGTTAGACAGCTTTCCACTCATCGCATGCACACCACTCCCAATCTATCTTCCAAGGAAAACTAGATAACCATTTAATCCCTCCTTGGAATTCGAATCCCCCTCATAACTGTCTCCTTTATTCTTTTAAACATCCATCTCTGTTGAAAAATTAACCTGCTATTCAACACGTGCCACTTCCACAAATGGGCTGCTTGCCTCCTCCAAGCCTATTGTAAATTACTTAAGATGCTATCAAGGCTTAATCCATCTTTATTCCACTGCTGTGTGGAGGTATTTAGAGAGAAGAGGTGTTAGAAAGCTAGAAGGCCAGAGTCCCAAAAACTTGCTTAACATAAAGTTAATCAAAGAGGCTTACAAAGACTGAGGATCACAATGGGGGCACAATCATGCCATTCTGAAAGGTCAGGCAGGCAGGTTTGCACAATGAGGACTCCAGTGTCCATATAATACCTCTCGAATAACACGGCTCATCCTCTCACGTCTAATCCTTGATAAACAGTCGACTCGGTATGTAACTGATGCAAGGACAGTGCTTAGTTGTGATGGGATAACCGTGACAAATATAACAGAGATGGGCCAAATGTCAAACTATATAACAAAGAATGGAAACTTGAGTTTTTGTTTCTGGGTTTAACATAAGACTGATATCATTTACTACTTGTGCTATTTTCAAAGTAGTGAACACTGCTGTAAATTAATAATAGCTAAGGAGAAAAGATTCCTACAAAGTGTCTGCAGAGCAGGCGTCTCTTTCTCAGACACGACTCATCATCGGATAATTTTTTAAAACGCATTTGTTGTTTAGGTTTAAGACAACACAAGCTTTCTGACTTTAACAGTTAGCTTTGAGCAGATAGAAAGCGCATGCTTGGCTATTTCCTGGTTTTTCCATTACATTAATCAATATTTCACTGAGAACGGGCACCAAATCAAAATAATTGTCAAAATAATCCTTAGTTGCAGCTCTTTTGTGGTGAAACTAAATGTGTGAAGAGTAAAAATATTCGTAATAATGACTTTAATTGGTGTTGAGATTAATATTTCAAAACCTGTCTCCACCAGCAAAAATTTAATGCAGTAATACTAGAGGCTATGACCCCCAATTCGCCTGGCCTATTAACAATTAAATTTGATGGGATGATAATGTATGATAATCATGAGTAATCAGGTGCCCGCCGATAAATGGGATGTTGCCGGCTGGTATGTCACCTGCATTTCAAATTGTGTCCTTGGCAACACCAGCCTAAATGCAATTGACAGCTGGGGAATCCAACACTATGCTGTTCATCAGTCCAGTTGTCTGGATACCTTTCCAACCCACCCTTGTACTGCCAAAACAGCTCTTTGCTACGGTGCCATCAATAACCAGCACAATCACAGACCTCAAGAAACCGGAATGCTGTGATACTGACACTAAAGGCCAGAAATGTGTGTAAATAAAAATACATTTTTGACAAAGACCGACTACTGTGCAGAGGTCTGGCATCTGGCAGCAGGGTTGTAAAATCACATGAGCTCAATTGGATGCAGCCATTTCCAATGGCTCATTTGCATAAATCCATATAAAAGGCGCTCTCCAGAAAGATGTCAGTCAGTACCAGCACCACCTGATGCCTGAGCATCATTAAGTAGAAGGATGGAGTAACTTAAGGCACCCTGGGTGACTTTCTAGCGAGTCATTTCCTTCAATACAGTAATTACTTTAAAGGCATTTCTGTCATGTCTTGGATGGGCTCTTTGTGAGTGAAATAAAGGACCTTTTCTTTCAGGAAATCACTGACTTAAGATCAGCCCGTCTGACGTGAAATTCTGCCTTTGCAATATGTGGTACACCCGAGCCCCATCAAACCACCACCCCGTTTCACTAATTTAGATACTGTTCGAAAAAGGTCTCTGTGCCTTTGGGATACAAACTTGTGGAAAGTGAATATTAACTGGCAGTATATCCTGGTTTCACAATTCCATTATATGCCAAGCTGGCTAGTCTGAGCCCCAGCCCATCCATAAAGAGCTACTAAGTAAGTCCCGCCACTGCAACCCCAACCTCTAAAAGTCGACCGCCTAAAGCCCCTATCACGCATTTCCAGTTGTGCAGCCAGGCTCCTATCAGTGTTTACAGATTTGCTTTAACAGTATTTGGCCTGGGCAGACAGTCTAATTGAAGTAATGATATTGCCCTCACTAAAAGGGACGCTAACCGTGTGAAGGAGGAGAGAAAGTGAGGCGAAAGAGAGGTAGAGGAGCAGCTGCTACTCACAGGGAACCTCTGAGGACCCACAGCAGGTCTGGGCTGGCTCTGAGCAGGAGGCATCAAGGGCACTGCAATGAGAGGTAGAAAGAGAGCAAGAGAAGGAGGGGGAGGGGGAGAAAATGAAAATGAGAGGCAGTAGGCAGAGAGAGAGAGGGTGGTGATTGTAGAAAGGAAGGAGACCATTAGAAATATCCATGCTAAAGGCTCTTAGTCAGGGGTACATGTTAAATTTTAGCTCAGTGTTGCTGCACAAATCTGCCCCCTCCCCAGTTAGGTACAGACCAGAGAGCTCAAGGAAATAGTAAATACGTGCTTGAATCAACAAATATAAAAGAAGAAATTTGTTATTGTTTGAAATGTTATTTTTTTTTTATGGGATTTTCTTAATAAGCATTGGTGAAACCATATGCCAACATCCAGCACTGGTAAAGAAAATTAAAGTGGAACATATAAACTACACAACACAGATGTACAAAAATAAATAAATAAAATGCACTTGCACACATATGCACACACAATCCTAACCTCAGGCACCCCCAGATCTTCCAGCAAATGCCTTTCTCTTGGGAGCACAGCCCACACTGCACACGCTTTCCTAACACAATTTCAATCTCAGCCTGGACAGACAGGCCAGATAACCCATCTCAGTGAATGAATGCATACTTGAGTTATTGTAACACTGCCCATACTAACAAATTTAAGTCAGAAAATCTGACAAGACATCTCATCGGGTCATATATGGCATAATTTTGTGAATGTACTCTAAAAAGTGTTTAAATACATTTCCAGCCACCATAAAGAAACATGGCTTAGCTTGGTTTTCACAGCATATGAAAGCCAGGCCAAAGCCCAGATTTTCAACTTCTAGATTAACTTTTATCTTTGTCCTTAATCTGTGTTCATTTCCTGTTTGTAGTAAAGCATTTTTGTAGTAAAGCATTTTTGTAGTAAAGCGCTATACAAATACAGGCCATTTACCATTTTGTGTTTTTTTGGTTTTTTAAATTAAAGATGTCTAACAGTATCCATTGCCAGTTACTGTGGTTTAATAAACAGGCAAATAGATAAAGAGCCTCTTGTAACTTCACTGAGTTTATAAGAAACCATCAGTTACAATTACTACCACGGCCCAAAGATGAAGAACTGACCATCATCACTAATGGGATGGCAGACTGGCTAGGTCGCAGCCTCAGGCGTGTGTGGCTACACTGAGTGGGGGTTCCCTCCCCACCTCACAGCCGAGAGGTTTGCCGGACAAGGACCCGGGGCAAAACAGTGGGTTGCTTACTTCAAGTTTATGCATCGGAAACTGTTCAATAAACTAATTTTTTCCACTTGGAGAATTATTTGCAGACACTGAAGCTACAATAACAAACACTGGAAATGCTAATGAAGTCACCGTTTGACTGACTTTGTACGCAGGTGGGATTCTCAGTTTCCTGTCAATTTCTCGACTTTTTGTGTGTTATGTCTTTGACTCCAAAAAGTTCCACACAACAAATAAGACTCTCTAAAGCAATGTGGTTTCTTATGCATTAAAACTTGCAAATGTGTATATAATTATGAGAGATTGGCTTGATCCCCTTGTTAATGGACAGAACTGTTGAATATACAAGTTCTCCAGCAATTTTAGTTTTAACACTAATCCAAAGAAAAAAGAGGGATATATTAGGCTAAATACCAAAAGTCAAACAAAGCACTGGGTTGATGCTGGAGAAAAGTACCTTGAACGGGTGACGTTGCAGGCCCTCTGAAGTGGGGGTTAATGTGGATGTTCTTGGGTTGTGGAGCCTGTTGCTGGTGATGTGGAGGGAAGTTGGGTGGCGGGGAATTCATCAGTCGTGGTGGTGGCTCCATCTGAGGTCGCAGCGGCGGGGAGCGATGAGACATGTGCGGAGGGATGAGGGGCTGAAGGGGCTGCTGAGGAAGCGGACGCCCGTGATCTTGGAAGTGAGGCGGTCCGCTTGGACGTGAGGGGTGGTGCTGCGGGGAATGCAGCTGCTGCTGATGAGACTGATGAGGAGGAAGCATTCGCGAGGACTGCTGTTAATTGGAAAGAGAAAGGAAAGCAGAGAGGAGGGAAAACCAAAACAACCCGTCAAAACACCTTCCGTTCTTTTGGATTCTGTTATGATGCGAGGACACACCAACAAGTCAATTCAACAGCAAGAACAAAAACGGTATGGTAGAAATAGGATGTACGTCTGTTTTCTTTATGCTGAGTTCAGACTCTGTGATAAGAGCCTGATTGTGGCCTCATACAGATGATGTAGGCTTCACTGTTAATCGAAAACGATAACAATGGATGGAAACTGGAGCAACTGTCCTGACAACCTGCTATGTCAGAATATTTTGTGAGGTTGACCATTATGAGCAAAGTAAAACAGGAATGATGCTGCCAGTGTAGCTCAATAGATATCATGTGCAATCATGATTAATAAAGGAGAAACAGCAAGTACTCCGTCATGTCTCTCAGTTACAAAAAGGCAGGTTTTTAATGACTATGATCGCTAACTCTGCCACAGTGACCATCATAACAGGTAGAAATATTTTGCACTGTGAACCCAGCATTAAATTTCATCAACCTTCATTCAATAAAAATATAAAATCTTTGAAATATGCTGCAAAAATTAAGAAAAACAAACAAAGCCAACACTTAAAAGTCATGCCACCTGCTACCACTGGAATATCCCTGCCATCGATGCATCAAAAAAATAATTATATAGTTAGGTGATGTTTCAAATGGGTCCTTGATAATTGGTCAATATGTTTACCGAGCAAACAAACAAACATGCCAGTGACCAAATTAGTCAAATAGTTAAGCCTGACAACTAGAGTGCCTTGTAAAAAGCGCACACTCATTAACGGCAACCAGCAGGATGTTTGTGGTGTTGGCATGTCATCCCTGTGCCATTAAATTTTCATTTCCAGTGTTTACGTTTGGTTTTGAATTTTAAAGCCTATTAACACTAATTAATACAACCTAAAATAATGCAGTGCTGGAGTTGGATTTCATCTAGCCTTGAAAAAGAATCACTTTAATCACAGTCTCAAGCTGTGAACAACGGGGGAAACACCCAACTCATACTTTTATTTGTTGCCTGAAGCCTTGATCTAAAAACGTAAAGAATCCCAACACACCTACACAATTTGTTTTATTTTTTAAAAAAAGAATAAATTTTTTATTTGATAAATTAATTTACATTGTAACTATTTATATCATATACCAGTGTATAAAAAGGCCCAGGATGTGCTGAAAAAGTATTCGTTACTTGCACATACACACGCATATCGTGGTACATGCTCAATGTGACTTTTTCACCAATAATAAATGCATATCGAAAGATTAAATGGTTGGAGCTCAGTCCTGTGTAAAGAGCAAACAATTTTTTATAATGCTGTCTAAATGAACAACTGCTAAATCATTTTCTATAATCCATATATCACTGACTACAGGAGAGCAGAGAGTGCTTTGACTTTCTTTCCATGTGTAATCAACCATTGCTGTGGTGCTTTTAGATAGGAAGGAGAGCAGCAGCAAAATAAATACATGTCAAGTACTTAGACACGCTGCCTTGTAACTGTGACGAATACAAGGAGGTAAAAAGTTGAGCCATTTCAAATCATCTTATTCAGTGAAGCCCTCATGCTCCCTTACAGTGAAGTGACACAGTACTGAGTGATGCAATACTCTGTGCAGCCAAATAGGAGAACGCTTTAAAAACATTCAGGTGGATGGCTTGACAGTGCTTTACCTGCATGCCCATGTTTCCCATCGGGGGGAATCTCTGGTCGTTCATTCTTCCTCGGTTTCCTCCTCTATAGTCTCCCATTTCAAACCCTGGGAAGCCTCCTCTTCCTCTGCCTCCTCGTCCCCCACCTCGGCCTCTGCCTCCGTGACGATTTTGTTTCTTCTGCCGTTCTTGCTCCTCGAATTCCATCAAATCTCGCTTGGCCTTCTCTGACAGTTCTGTTTATACGTGGAACAGGAAAAGGAGGCACTCACACATTAAACTTAAATCAATGGAAGTTTAAGTAATGTAAATGAAGCCTATAAGAGTTTAGAGAGATTCAATGTTTCAGCATCTTTAAGCATTCAGGCTGTCAGTGGATACAGAATAAATTATTCCCAGTAGGAATAATTTGTACCTAGTGTTTCAGGGATGTTCCGCCTTTTGGAGCCTGCATCTGCCAGGCGCACAACAACGCCCTCCTTTCTTTCAGATTTGAACCTTATGCGGCCAGACTCTTCATCTTCCTCGTCTTCTTCATCCGATTCCTCCTTTGTTTCTTCTTCTTCTTCTCGCACAGCCTCATTTTCACCCTGAAGGACATGCTCCGATGTTAGAAGCAGAAGACGTCTCCTATCCTAACATTTGCTTCACCATTTTTACTCTGTGGCTTGCTGTGTTTAATTTCATCATTGGCTTTATTGCATGAAAGGACATCCTAAAAATCATGCTGGTGTTTATTGAATATACACCAACAGTTGGGGGCCAGTAGCCAGAAGGTTAAAGCATATACTCCCATTGCTACCAATCAAGCTCTATGCATTCCTAGCTAACAAAGCCAGCCCTCAAGCTTGATTGTACCATGTGAAGTTGTTGCACCACTTCTTCATCCTGTTTCAACACTGAAATAAAAACAATGAATCTAAAGAAGCTGGCTTCAGAATACCTCCTCCATGTCATAGACTCGATTCCCTTCAGCAGTGTCTTCATTCTGCTGATTTCCCTCCACCTCCTCTGTGTCCTCCCCTGCTCCCTCCTCCTGCTGGGCTCCATCTTCATCAAGAGGCTCATCACCATAGGGGGTTTCGTATTCTTCATCCTTTAAAGATGAAACGGTTAATATGCATCAATAAATTGACAACAGATTTCTGATTAGGCAATGAGCAAATATTTATTTTTCCTGTTTCTGTTGAAAATAAAAAACATTCTGTTTAATAAAAATGCTGTTATAGATGATCTTTTTTCCCATCACTAAGAGCTAAAATGAACGCAAGAGGTGACATGATGACATACTTTGCAGTGCAGATTGATAAAATTTCAACTTTTCTCCTTAAAAAAGGACAAAAAATAAATAAAATGAAAATCATACAGAGCAAGCACAATAAAATGCTATGGTGAGGTTTTTGGGGAGGCACCAGACAACCCCACCCCTTCCAAACCCAAATTATCATAACAGTAGGAGCAAGGCTTCATTACTATTCCTGACAGCATTTGAAATTCAATGAGATGTAAATGTTTGACATGATATACAGAAATGCAGGCGCAGATAAAAACACTCCTCCCCGCTTCAATGATGGTGAAAATATCATTGACTGACTCCTCACAAATCACTCCGTTACTGTCCACGCTGATTTCACTTCAACCCATGATGCAAACACCGAGCTGTGATCCAAATTTCCACAACTCAGTCAAAAAAAAAAAAAAATCAACACACAAAAGGTGCAATATAGCTGGAATATGAGCTGCCAGCGATTCCAGCATCCAAACTGCACAATACCCTCTAACAAATACCAATTGCTGAATAAGGTCAGATTGTATGTCTTGCAGTGATGTTAGGTGATGTTAGGTGTTGTGCTCCATTAACCTGCCAGCAGCAGTGCCACGTATAAAGGCAGAAAAGGGGGGGGGGAATATTCCAACCAAACCAGGCGGATGGACAGTAAGCCCCAAGGGAGGCACAAGAACAGCTTAATCCTTTAAACTGTTCCACAAAATGCTCAATGAATACCACAGTGAGCAAAATGTCAAGGCCATGCAGTCTAGTGACCTTGTAAACAGGCATTGCAGATAGCTGAAATACACATCCACACCTGCAGACATCTCCAAAATATCCAATCCAAAACAGGCAGCCACTTGTGCTAAGAAGGTCAACATCTTATCGTTGTTTGAAGAAAGACGGTAGGCTAATATATCTCTGTCAGGTGACAAACACAATCACACCATAGTAAATGGAGCATAACAGACATTTGCACATGGATCTGGTCTTATCTTTGATCCTCTTAGCCCAGGCTAAGAGGAAAGGAAAACGAATAAAAGGGAAACTCACATCAATCATTAGAAAACTGTATGGAGTGTCCTCGGGAAGGTCAATAATCTTTTCACCTGCATGAGACTTTATCAGATCCAGTCTAAAGGCAGAGATAAAAGCCCCCCACATTAACCTCTGCCGATTGGCAGCACATCTCCCTGACACAAAGCAGCTTCTTACTCCCCCAAAGATACAAGGCCCAAGGTCACAATGGCACAGGGATTTGGAGGCGACAGCAGAGCATTACCTCACGCCAAACAAGCTGTCAACAAAACTTTGTCAGCAAGATGGAGAAATTAACTGGCAGGAAGTGATAATGAATCTAATCCTCCCCTGCCAAAAAACACCGACCAACATCTCCTTCTCCTGAATAGATTTTCAATCCTGACTGACCCTGTACTGAGACAAGAAAATTGACATTATCTCTTGGACACAATAGAGCTGGGCAGAAAAGGGGGAGAGAAGTGTGTGTGTGTGTGTTTGTTTAGGCATAGATTTGAACAACTGAGGAAATGTGAGAACTCACTTGAAATTCACCATCAATAGGCTCATTGATTTGGATGTTTAGCACACCATCCTGATAGTCGTCGTCAGCCTCTGCTGGCTCTCCGGCGTAACCCATTTGGCCTTCGGAAATCTCTGCACCATCTTCTTGGCCATATTCCTCTCTATATGCCTCATCCTCTTGCTGGTACTCTTCCGCCTCCTCCACATCCCCTTCTTCGCAGCCCTCTGCACCGAGGTTCACAACGTCATCGGTATAGTCTGCTTCCTGTGAGTTATCCTGCTGGTCATAGGATGTGCCCAGGGTATATGTGGCATTGAGGCTGATATCCTGACCACTGAGAGGAAGTGAAAACATTTTTAACATCCCATAAAACAGAAATGAGGGATGATGGAAGTCTAAGCAAAGATGAGGACACAGATATAAGTGGACTACCTTTGATCTACGTCTTCATCATCACTTCTGAGAAGATCATCATTCAGCTCTTCATCTGACATTTCTGATGGATTCTGAAACAAACAAACAAACAGGACCATTATGGTGTTTAACATACTGTTCTTTAGACGTGTGCGTGTGTTGGTGTGTCTGTTTAAGGTGTGGGGGCAGGGGACCACCTCCAACCCCAAAGGATGCTCTATTCCCATGTGGTGAAGGCAATCTGGACAGGTCAACAGAGTGCTTTTTTGTCCACTGTACTTCCTCCTGGTTCACATCAACAATTCCCCCTGTGGAGGAGCCACCTGCTACAAATCCACTGATCGCATCACTTTCTAAATGTTCCACAAACACCATCAACTAATGTTTAGGATGTTGTTTTCCGGTTTTTAAGCAGAGAAACCATACCAACAGCTTGGCACAAAGCACACACAGCGAAAAAAAGCTTTTAGCTTATTCTTACCTTTTTACCTGACAGCCAGTCCTCTTCCAACAAATCCTCTTCCAAATCACTTTTGTGGCAAAAAGACAAACAATGACAGGTGAGTAGAGTTAGACATCAGCATGTTACTTAATACTGCCTTATATAATACTGTCAACTCTCTATTCAACTAGCAAGTTAAACCTGTTTAGGTAAACTCTTCTTAAAAATATATATATATATAGAATTCTCAACTTTTAACAATAACAATATTATTGCAATAAAAGATAATTTCAGTAGCATCTTGACCAATACAAGGGATGTACAAGTTCTAAAACACAGGCCAAAATCCATTACACACATTTCAATGATAACAGCAGGTTGTGCCATTTAATACAATAAAGAGATGGATGCAATAGTTTACCTCTCAAGATCATGATCTTCACCTCTCCTTCTGCGTGACCGCTCAGCACCGGGTTTGTCATATTCATCAAAGTCAAAATCTGCAAAAAGGACAGTTGTGCTTAAAAATAAGCTCTAACAAGAGCAACGTAAAATACTAACAGAAGGCTCCCACATGGACTTAGAGGTGGGTGGTAGGCGGCAAGCAGGATAGTGGCTCGAGCCACTTTTTTATCATTTGTGCAGATCTGTTAAGACCAAATCACATGCGGCGTCAGTAAGATTTAACAATGAACAATCACTTCGTTACACAAAAAGCAGGATAAAAATCACTCCATGAAAAGATAACCCCAAAAATAAATATATCTGCATTTTCAACATGATTTGGGAAATCTGGCAACGGCTTAAAATAACTACAAAATATATAAAAATTAGTTTTAAGGTGAGACATAGCCCACATTTTCTTCATATGCCATATGATGCTTGTTTTAGTGGGACCGTGTATCCATTAAAAATGGAGGAGGCTCCTTGCCTGTACAATTGCCTGTACAATTAAACTTTTACGTTTACTTTGCAAATGTTGGTCAAAAACACTGAAGACTAGTGTCTCTTTTCTACCGGCCAGGATGCAACACTTGAGCTGAACGTCAAGCCACACATGAATTTATGTCTTGGCAGGACTAACACAGATGGGCATGTTTCTCCACCATCATGTTAAAGCTGATTTGTAGTAAATCAAAATATATTAAAATATTTAAATGTTGGGGTGGAAACTAGCGCTTTTAAGAAGATATATTTTATGTATCTTAAAGCTAAGAAATTCCTTTAATATGTAAAACATTAGACTAACATTATGGAATCGGGCTCCACAATTAATTGAATTTTAATCTCGATCACCATTTTGGCTTCCCCCAATTAATTGAAATTGATCAAGCGACACTGAAAACGCGTGCTTCCCCAATGGAACACAAAGCAGAGGCAAATCAAGTGCTTCCTAAATCAGCACCTGACCACGTGCCTGCATGTGCCAATCACAGCTGTTCCCTGTGCAACAAAGCTTCAATTTTCCTGCACTAGTCTGGACAAGTAACATAATGTTAAAAGACAGAAATACAACAAACTTCAAATGTCTAATACAGCAGGTGGTGAAGAGAACATCATTTGTTCTTTGGAAATACTTTGGATTTAAGGCAAATTCTGTCAACCAACCAGCAACACAATGAACTTATTCAACTCCCTGAAAACACACCACAAACTGCACTGCAATGAAGGCCGAGGGAAAAAGCAATGGGTGCTACCAAAAATAAGCACCCAATAAACACTTTGCATAATGGATTAATGGAATGAAAGACTTTATATTTTCCTTCTAGGAGATGCACTTGTCAAGTGAATAAACACCTTGTCTGAAAAGCTTCTTTAGTTACCTCAAATGTAGCACAGTGTATTTTTCCTCAATAAAAGCAATCAATAATCAAATGATTGTCCATATTTTTATTATTTATTTTTTTTATTATTTTGGCCATAATTGTGCAGCCCTGCAACAGACCATCTGCTTTTCACAATCTGAAATGCCCCTAAACTGCAAACACCCTGCTGCACATACTCCTTACCCCAACAAACTGCCGTTATTGTTGCAATGACATGTGTATCAAGAGCCTATTACGCAAAGTGATCAAACTCTTTGAAACCTTTCTCAGAAAGAACACAGATCGTCTATCATGGACGATCTTAATTTGTCACAATAGCCAATTCAGGCAAACCAACTTCATTTATATAGGAATAGGTTAAAAAATGCACATAATACAAAGGAGTGCAGCGTACAATGATGTGTACTCAATAAGCAATGGGTCTCATGTGTCAATAAAAAGGCACAGTTATCTGATAAGTTTAAAGGCAATGATCAATAACCCCATTTTAGGTTTTGTTTGAAAATGGCTAGCACTGAAGCAGATTTGGCCTCCATTAAATCAATAAAAGTTCCATTCAAACATTATAGACCTTGATGCAACTGGGGTAAAACTCACTGCAGCAACATGATCAATGAATGTCAAAGCAGCTGAGATATTAACCACTCTGATCAGAACTTTCAGAATTAAATCAGAGAGATAAAAGAACACAGATTAAATTATGTGGGCTCACCTAAATCTGAAGAACTCAATTTTTGCAGGTTTTCCAAACAGCCTTGAATAGAATCTGTCAGGCTCATTCTATTCAAGATAGCATCCCTACACTTAGAACACAGCAAATGAGGCAAAATGCAACCTCTGATTATCTGAAAGCCAGACACCATATGAGCAAAAAAGGGACGGATGCTCAAAATACTGACAAATTGAAATTGTTTAAATTAGGGATGCACTGACTGATCAGCCAGGGATTGGAATCAGTGCATTTTCAGCATTGTAAGCCCTCTATGTCCAATTACCAGCCAGTGTGTTTCATACAGGCCACATACTAAAATTCCTATTAACATGCAAGCGCTTCAGTGTGAGTGAAAACCAAAAGTTCATCAAAGTAAGGCACGAAACTAGCACGAAAACATTTGTAACAACAAACTTAATAAGACACTTAAAACACCCTCACATAAACATTTTAAAGAAGCTACAAAAGGCAACTAAAGCTAAAGCTATCCAAATCCATCCAGCTATCCATCAATCCAAAGACATCAGAGCCAGTCACAAAGCAGAAGCCTTGGTATGAGAGAAAAATATCAGTGTCCTGTTAGCAAAAGTTGATTTTTCTTTGTGCACGCTATCAATTATACCCCTTAGAAAGAAAATCCGGATTGGCAAAAGCTGATAATGAAAGGTCACACACTAATAAATAAATAAAAATCAGACTCAACCAAGAAAATTGCGATCTCTACTTTGATTCTAAGACGGGTGGATATAACAATGTGCTCTGCTCTGCTGACTTCGACAAAACTGGAAGAGGCTCAGGTAATTTAATTGTGATTTAAATATCAAGTTTAGCTCATGGGCGACCTTCTACATCCATGAACCTTTCTCGCCTCTACCCATCTCGAGCAGACTATCCTTCATGACCCTCCCCAAAACTAAGGCTGGTGCTCCCTGACAGACAGTCGAGCATGAAACTTTTATCTGGTAAATTACACGATGAAATTCAGAATAATTTTCTGTTTTATCAGTAAAGTGTTAAAAGCTACACAGCATGGCGGGAGTCACTGGTGACGGTGGGAAGTCGGGTGTATCTGTAGTGAGAACGCTTTGCACCTTCAGAGTATTCAAACAGAATGAAGCAACACATCACGTCTTTCCCTCCAAAAATAATTCCAATAATTAATAAAGATAAAGCAAATGGAAGCATGTCGGCCAACAGCAGCACAGCCAACCATTAAAAACAAGTTTAACAATGAACTCCCACTGGCAGACATTTTCATCTTTCACAGAACCTACTACCTTGTCTACAGTCTACGGCAACGTCAACCAGAGAGCCACTTGTGCTATTAAGTACCTAACAACTGTTGCAGGAAGCATGTGTCACACATAAACACACACAAGGCATGACATGCAGGTTTCCCCCGGCAGTGTGCTCAGAGGTTAATAACTGTGTGTCAGTGATGCAACAAGAACTATATTCAAAACCCTGAAAATAATGTAGCAAAATTTAATGAACCTATTATCAATTTTAATTTTTACATTTGCACATTTTCTGTTCTGGCAAAAGTTCTTCTACTCAAAGGGCAAATTAGCAGCTTTAAAGTGGGCTCTTGAATCTGGTTTGCCTAATAATTCAGTCTCTGCTCATCTAATTATTCTGTATCTGTGCTTTCAGCTCGAAAATCTACTCTGACAGTAGAGCCTGATAAAGCTGCCATTTTTAAATAACATCCTAGAAAAGCAGCCATGCACTGAGCATGGGATTTCAACAGAAAAACTGTTGTACAGTTGACCGCCATCAGTGTCAACAATAATTATGTATGAGTCAGTTGTTTAATGGACTGCTAAAGGCACGAATCACAAACTCTTACATTTGGCATTGAAGTTAGGCTAAAAAAGTTTCTGCATTCATGCAGTGCAGGAGAATAACTGGTTAATTTAACATATGAACTTGACAAAAAGAAAAGCCATAGCATTCCAGTATGCTCATGCTGTCAGAAACGGTAATCAAAATAAAATATCTAAGTGTGATTACTTGCTAAGTCACGTACAGGCAAAAATACAGCCAGAGCTGGCCCATAAAGGCAAATAAAATAACCCATAAGAAGAAGTAGATGGAAAAAAACAAACAAACAAGTAAAAAACAAAACATAAAATCTGTTTTTGGTAAGAAATCTCATGTCTAAAGCCTGTAGTGGCTCTTTACTGCTGTTTAACAAAGTCCCAATACAGTGTGTTTCATCATGACTTGTTCAGTGGTGCATATCAGACAGCTGGCAAGATGTGGTCTTATTTAAACACTATAATATTTGATTTAAATTGTATTTATACAGGGCCAAGTGACAACAACAGTCGAATTAAAGCAAGTTATATTGTATGGTAAATGCCCTACAATAACAGAGAAACCCAAACAAACAAACAACCACCCTTTAAGCAAGCACTTGGCAACAGTGGGGAAAAAGAAAGCAGGAAGAAACCTCTGCACAAGTAGGCTCAGGAAGGGGAAGCCATCTGTTGCAACTGGTTGCAATATTTTTTATTTTAGGCTGCCGCCAAGTCGCAATTCAGTCATCCAGTGTGAGGTCCTTCATCCAAGTCAGTATGGCCTCCTAAATGTAGTCTGCCAATGTAGTAGCAGAACTGATGTGCAGAAAATAGGATTGCAGCTGTTTGGTGCATTATCATCCTCTTATTTATACTGAATAAAGTGACATTTTTAACTGCCCCCTCCAGCAATCTCTTAGAGATGCAATCTCTGTATGGGTTTTATTTGAGGTAAAAGCCATTGGTCAGTCCGGCCTTGGGGTCCCAACCAATTCCAACATCCAAATGATCCCAATTTTGTTCAAGTGTTTAGAGTCTGGTGCCTGTATTTTACCGCTTGTAATCAAATGTATTAACTCTTACTGTAATTGTGATCGTAAGATGGCCTCTACAAAGCAATGCTATCCAAACACAACGTAGGAATCACTGTGGGGATATACGGACCGCATTAACTGCGTCATAGTGCCCTTATAGACATATGCAGTTGTGAGTATAGCTACGATACTGGCGAAAAAGCCATAGAATAACAGCCTGCACTGCAGGTAGTTAGGTGCATAATCAGTGTTAATCATCCATAAGAGTTTGTTGGGGGGGGACTACCTTGAGCTATCAAAATTAGCTATCGATAAAAGCGCTACTGCGATCAAAAAGGGGAAAATACCTGATTAGAGAACAATTATATCTGCTTTAAAATTCAAGAGAAAGCAAATAGGACCCATGGCTTATTTTATATTATGCTTAGCTATTCAGGAATCAAGGTTTTTTTCAATCCCACCAGATACCAGACTAGCAGCGAGCGTATTTGCTAATAATGTTAGCAAACAGGCCAAAAAAGAAATTCAACGCTAATCAGCGCTTGACTTTGTCCTCAATGTATTAACAATAGCTTTGGGAATTATGCACAGCTGGAGCGTATTACAAATTTAAACTTGTTGAGTTAACGTTGTGTCCGGTATTTTCGTCTGCTTATATTCGTTTTCGTTTTACAAAGCTGGTTTAGCTACTGGCTAGCGTGCGGCCTTCTCTCATTGAAGCCGTCTGTCGACAGTACGAACGAGCTAAGTTAGCCTCAGAGCTAAGTCAAGCTAACTTAGCACTATCGACAAAATCAACTGATATTACTCACCCTGGTCGTTGGATGACATGATGCAAGGCCCGTCCCGCTTACAGTGTAATTACTGTACTGCAGAGTGCATTTAATCTTCAGTACTTCACCATTTTCATGGTTTAAAATATCAGACTGGCAAGAGCTTCTATGCGGCAATGACTTCAGATCACGACCAGGATACAAGCATGCTAGAGATGGGTTTGCAGCGATGATGCATTGTGGGTGGGGAAAGTCCAGCTCCCTGGATCGGTTTGCTGCAGGAAATCGAGCTCTCTCCGTAGACATATGTTCACCCTCTACTACTAGGCTACATGCAAGATGAGGGAGGGATATTTACTTTACATCTGGATAAGGTATGAAGTTGACTTCGTATTAGTTCTACAAAAAGCATACATCATTAACACAATAATAAATCTGAATATTATGTGGCATATTGGTAAGTAAATGTATTACCTATAAATTCAAAGTGACCTTTTCAGACTTTTTTTTCAGGTTAGGGCAGCTGTGGCTCTGGAGGTAGAGCGGGTCTACCATCAGGCTGGTGGTTTGATTCCCAGCATTTTTAGTATGCATGATTTACTGGGGATACTGAACCCGCAGTTTCCCCCGAGTGTGAGCGTGTGAATTCTTAAAAGTCATTAGGCATAGAAAAAAACGTGTATGTGTGTGTGTGTGTGTGTGTTTGAATGGATGAATAAGGACTGCAGTAAGAAAGCACTTTAAATGCTCAAATAGAGTTCTGCACTACATAAGTACCAGCTCATTTACAACATTCAGTACTATACAAAACTTTATTGAAAAGTATAAAATGAAGAGTACATTGCACTGCAATACCTTTAATCTATCCTTCTTTTTGTAGTTAAGCATCATCCACAGAGGAAAAAGAGATGCACATTTTAAGTTCCTATGCTCTCTGTTCTTTAAATGTTTTCTGCTTCTTTCCCCCACAGCTTTAAACATTCATGGTACTCATTCAATTTTTAATAATCATTTAAGAATGAACATGCTTTAGCTGGATTAATCCTGCCCTCAAACCTCTCCTTGTAATGTTTTTCCAAGGTATGAAAAATTAGGATTTCCACCTGTGTTGGGGAACTACTTGCACTAATGGAAGGATAATGTTATAGAAACATAATGGTTTTTGTCATGCATTATTTCAGCAAGGCTGATGAGGTTTTTATAACACTTACACCAGTGGTAATCCTGTTATAAATAAAGCCTTTTTTAAATTCTAGTTTTGCAGTTTTATTTTTCCAATTTCAAAAAATACATTTTAAAACCAAAACTTTTGTCTTCCTTTTTGCTATAAAAAGCACACCTGTACTCTTGCACAATATCAAAGCTTTAGTGGAGACTGTTCCCTAAAAGGGACAGTTGTGCTAGGTACTTCCTTTTCCTTTTGTCAAGTCTCAATCAACTCGCTGATAACTTTGCTCCCTAAAGGAAGAGTAGACAGGTTCTGCACTAAGAAAAAACAATGAGTAACAACAAAAACCAGGAGTCTTTTTTCTGATTGAATCTGAAACTTGGAAAAGGAAACCAATTCAGTCCCCTGCTAAAGCTGAATATGCTATTTTGTACACATAAAATCATGGAAAAACAGAAGAAATACTTGCTATCTTTAGAAAGGAAAGAACCTCAGGCATTCAAAAGGTTGTATTTATTGTCTTGACATGAGATTTTTTTCAATACAGAGAAGAGATCACAAACTGGCTTAGAACACTTGAAACTCATCAATAATACAAAATATTCTGGTTGTTAATTGGATTCCATATGTTTCAGTGCCACATAAATACATTAACACTAGAACAGAGAACAAAGAAAAACTTCTTTCCATTGGTCAGCTTTATGCTAGTGGGTGAAGTTTGCCCTTAGGGTGTCTGCTAGAAAGCCTCAAGGCAGAAGACTTTATGAAGTCTATGGTAAGCTAGTATAAAAAGTGAAACGTGTTGGAATAGGGAGGAGGTAAGGGTGGATGAATGGGCAGAGCACAAGACTTTCTCCTAGGAGACACCTGGAGTTTGTGTCCCATGTGAAACCAAGAGTCAACTTTGGCCTTTGTAAGGCTTTGTTTTCAGTTGTATTTTAGTTTAAACACAGGCGTAACAACTCTTTAATGGGCCTGGGGCAGATATTTTTTGGGCCCTTACTGCCACCAGAGCAAAAACACCATCTCACATTCTCTCTATACTTCTCAATAATCAATACTATCAACAACATCATTCTAGCTTTTGAACAGCACTGTGGACAGAAGCTGCACTCAGAAGTCGGAGAATGGACACATTTAGTGCTCGTTTAGTGCTATAAACTCGACTAGTTAAAGTGACATGAAGACAACTGTATTACTATAAACATGGAACAAAGGAGAGAAGCTCATTAACCACATTCAACAATCATTTCCAGTCGACCAGCTTCTAGATGTATTTTCACATGTAGGTGGTAATAATGTTTCAGTCATTTTGAAAAAGAACTTTATCTTAGCAACACATTGACAACACTGCTCAAATACAAAGTCTATCATCCTGCTCTCTTCTCTCCTTCCTCTTCTGAGCACCACATTTTTACTTTGGCTTGCTAAATATAATTTATAATGCTGCTATGCTGACAAAGTCCTCTATAGTACAGCCTACAGAAAACTTGATGTCAACAAGTTCGTGCACATCATCCACAGGCACCAAGGTCAAAAGACAAGTAAAGTATTTCCCAGCATATTTGTCACCAAGACTTTTCAGAAATTCAATTCATAAGGAAAATGTATATTACATAAATCAAGTTAGGCTTCTGTTCACAAGATAGAACCATGGCTTAAACATACTGGTAAAACATTTATAATAGAACAAAGCAAAAGATCATGATATGAGCTGTGGAAGTTTGTGGGGTTCTCTTCCTCGGTCTTTACGCTGTACAGGCTCCAGTGATTCTTTTAAAAAGCAGCTGAAGACATTTCTATACAGACAAGTTTTTAATTCATTTGTTGTTTTATTTTTTCATTTTATTGTCTTATATTTATTTCTGGTTTTATTGTAAAACACTTTGTGATTTATATCTGTGAAAAGTGCTATTTATATACATTTTACTTACTTTTACTTACTTATGAGTTAAAATAAATCCTTTTATAGTCGGTAGCAAAAGTACCTTCATCAAATTAACTGTCAATATGTAGGAAAACTTAAAGGTAAGCAGCTTTACATTGTTTCATGGTTCAGCCAATAGAATTCATATTTGTCATATTCTATTTGAAAAACATAAAAAACTCAACAACTTATGGCAACGGATATTTAAGATTCTGCACAGTATCTATGCCAATGATCAAACAAAGAATGAGAACAAAAGCTCAGAGTTCCTCGAACTGTTTCCCTTCTATTGAAGCATTTAGATGACACTTGGGTTGATTTGATCAGCTCATCAAAGACTTGTTTAAGTAGCCATTATTCACTTGTTATAAATGTGACTTCCCCCTATTTTACAAAAGAAACTTGATTATTACCTATCATTATATGTCAGATATTGTCAGACTAACAGATATTAAGAGAGTAAGTAAAGTAAAGTAATATCAGCAAGACCAAAAGCTCAATGAAAGCTTTAAAACAAAAATTATGCCAATTGCAGAATTTGATAAACAAAGGATGCAAGACTCCAGTCAGAAAAAGAACTGCCATGGTTACTGTTGTGGTTATCTTGATAGTGGTCTCTGAACCAAAAAGGGGAACAAAAAGGCCAGATGGATGATTGGATTAAAACACAGTATTTCAAAGTGAGTGAATTGAAAAGAGAAAATCTATTTACTGATCACTTAAGTTAGAGATTAGCGTATCAGTATCATAAGTGTGTAAGACATGGTAGGAATAAGTAAATCTGAGTGTATCTTTTCTCTGGAGTTGCACTGAGTTGTACTGACTTTCACCGAAGAGAAGTGGCTCATTCTTCAAACATGCGACAGCCTCTAGTTTGCATGTTTATGGAGAAGCAGGATTCACACCCTAAATACACCTAAAAGCTGTGCAAGGACCTGAAGTAGGGCTGAATGTTCCTCCACAACCAACAGACCACCTGCCCCAAACAGTATTTAGTCTATTAAAATTGTTATAGATATTATAATTTCTAAAAATGTGTTTAAAATTTATTACATTTAGAAATAGAAGTACCTTCTTACAATATCAAGAGACTATAATTGAGAAGGTAGTTCATATGGATAAAAATATTTTTAAAAAAAGTACTATTAAAGCAATAACATGGCCTAAATTCTTTGCGCATTCTTCACATCCATATAGGCAATCATATATATATATATATATATGGCATAATAACAGCAACCTAACAATTTCGCTAAATTAATAAAATGGCCACATATCGATATTCATCTTCCAGCATGTCCTGACTGTGAATATTTTTAACATTAGCTAAGTCAATATATTGAAGACATCGCCTATATCCCCCCCCCCCCCCCCCCTTTTTTTTTTTTTTTTTTTTTTTTAACATTTAGGGTTGGGGTTTGGACATTTCTGCTGTTTGGCTGTTGACATGAATGAGAAAGGATGGGGAGGGGTAGTTTGAATACTCTTCTTCCACATGGTCCTAGTGCATGCAGTGTCTCCCTGGTTGTTAAGTATTACATTTGTTTATAGACTGTAAGTAGTAGAGGGGTCCAATTCTGCATTTCCTCTTTGTACGTATACCCCACCGTCTACCACTTTTTAATAACAACCCTAAATTCGACTGTACAAAAATCAGTCACGGTCCATAGATGGTCATTGTTTCTGGAATTTCTCCAGTGGGGGTCTCTGATCTGATTTGCAGTCCAATTTTATGTTTTGATATCTGGAGGTGGCATCTGAATGTGCAGAGCTTCTCTCACTCACATGAGTTGTAGCTTTACTTTCCCCTGCAGGCAGGTATCATGACTCATCAGATCTGTTATTTGCTGCAAAGCTGTCAAAGTTAAAAAACAAAAAAACAAGTGCTTGGTTTTCAGTTTTAATGTAACAGAGTACAGCTGTCATGTAAATGCTTGTCCTTTTCAAATGGTCACTTTGGCTGAAATTCAAAATCTGGCCTTATCTTTATTCATTTCACTCCTTTGATTTTTCTTCCCTGTAAGGTCACAGCCTGCTTATCTCAACGCTATTTTTTCCCCTCTTTTGTGCTTAAGTCTGGGAGTCAAAGTTTCGTCTGAGTCTGGCCGTTAGACTACAGCAGAATTCTAACCCCCAAATTCCTCTTGGGCTGACAAACGTCAACAAAGACCCCGAGAGACACCAAAGAGAGGTGAGCAGTGAACTGAAGCCTCATTGTATTGGCTCATTATGGGGTCCCGCAGTGAGGAAGAAGCTATTTTGTAGCACCACAAGGTCAATATCTGAAAGCCAGGGTGATGGAGGGGATATGCTGTGAGATTTTTAATTTGAGAAAGTGTAAAGGGACTTTGTTAGTGAAATATAGTCAGTGAATTCTAATAGACTGCAGCTACTGATAGACAAAATGCGGACTTTGCCTTTTTTTTCTTTTAAACTAATATGAAAAGCTGTTTATCCAAAGCATTGCGAATTTGCAGACACACCCAATACTGTGCTGAAATTTAACAAGCCCATATTTATAATAGTTTGCAAGTTGGAACCAAAATTGTATCTGGCAAGACCCATTGCAGGTGCTTTTATAGCCCATAACATGCTTTCTGACATTATAAAGCTCGGTGTTTCAGCCTCCCAACCTCTGCAGGTGCAGTCCATATCAATACATATATTCCACACCTCATTACATGTTCACTCACAACATCTGTTTTCAAAGCTGTATAAGATATTTCTATGCTCCATGGATCTACTTTCCCAGGAATTTTGATTTTACTTCCAAATAGATTTGAAAAGGGGACCTGTCACACTCTATTATGCTGACCTCAATGATTCTGTGCTCTGTCCAAATCCAGCGGTTTTCCATAACAATGCAAATTACAGGGTGCAAAGCCGAAGGAGACAAGACTTGTTATTCTCCACCCAAAGGACAGAGGTTCTTTACAACAAACTCGCCTGTATGCCTTGTGTAGACTTTGACAGAATATAAATGCCAACTTGGAAGTTGTTTTGTGCCAGACAATGAGTTTTAGATGTCAGTTCATAAGGATCAGCAGCTGTCTGGAGAAAGTGATGCTAAGGCTGTGGGATGGGGTGGGGTGGGCTGTAATGGTCTGTAGGAATATTTTTGTGAATGAATGAAACTTTGAAAGAAAGAAAAAAAAAATCAGCCAAGACCTTCTGATGCTGATTTGAAGGTTCAAATTGGTTCAGTTTTCTCAATAAGGGGAAAGTCCTTGGCAACATGGAAACTATTAGGGTTAATGTATTCAACAACTTTCTTTTTCATCATTGTGCATAAAATCAATAACTCTAGCATTATGCAGACCATATCTATCAAAGTTGTCTGGCCTTTATATGTATTTAAAATTCTATCTATCCATCTTGAGGAACATGCTACATTTTTAAAAAAGGGTATGAATGATTTTAACTGTCTTAACCCTAAAATGTTAACTGTTTTAGACTATATGCTTTTTCTTGAATACACAACACCATGCATCTGTGCCTTTTTCCCAGCGTGGATAGGCTGCAGTCAGTGACCCACATCTCAGCGCAATGAACTGCTTAACTCAGACTGTTGTTTTATTCAGTGCACTGTCAACAGACGGATGAGGAGGAGGATGGGCGGGGCTTACGCTTATGGTCCATTATTATTGGACACTAGATTCGACTCGTCTTGCCCATTGGCCGCTCGCGCTGTCGCTCTCGATCTGTTATCGCCGCTTCCCGCGCCATTCGGCGTGCACGCGCATGCAGGACCAGGCACGTAACCGTTTGGAGACTGTCTGGAGTCTGTCTGAAATAGATAAAATTGAAAATGGACTTTTAGATATTTGTGTTCATTTACAAGGAAGCCGCCTGTTGGAAAATGGGATCTTTGCTCTCCTCCTCGAGCGCCTTCGCCCACCAGTCGCCACGCTCTGGCAAAAATGTAGATTTTTTTTCTAGATAAACGTTGTGAAAGTTTTTTCTTCTGCAGTCTATCAGGAGACAGCTCTTTATGCACAGGTAGGTACGGCAAGCGTCAGAGTGAGAGTTGCCCAGTGTACTGCAGCATTACACAGCTGGTTTTTATTTTATTTTTTATTTTATTTATTTTTTAAATTCATTTTAAACCTGTTTATTTGTGAATGTTAGCTATGTGTTTTTGACTAAAGATAAATAAATAAAAAATAGAAAACAGTTAAATTGCAGACCTTAAAATCTAAGGCAGCTTGTTTTACGTAGCAGACTGTAAAAAATAATAAAATAACGCATATTGTGATATTTTTATTTACTTGTGTTAATTTGACTAGCAGTAGCTTCTTTTGTTGTGGGGGCTTCACCTCATTCACTACTTCAGGAAGACGCGCAGGTGATGCACCTTTGCTGACGTGAGGTTGTTGATTAACCCCATGCGCGCTTTAGCTACCTGTTAGTCAGCAGACACCTGAAGGCAAATGCTGCCTTCGGTGGACTCTTCTATTCTCAGTTTAACCCTTTCAGCTACACTGACAAAAAAAGATCACATTTTTGATTACAATGCATTTCTTTTGCAAGTAGACGCACATTTACGGATTCTAAATTCGTATATGTGACTACAGGGTAGTGGAAAATGAACACTGTATGAATTCTTTTTCTTCTTTTCCTATCTTTGCTTGTGCTTTGCAGGGAATCACCCTTTAGCCCTGGAGTTCAAGAGGAGTGCACCATCCAGAAGGCAGCCTACAAGAGCACAGAAAGGTTGGTTGCTGTGCGCATTAGGCTAAGATAGAGATTTTTGAACTGACTTATAGTGTGGGCTGATGTTATGCAGGATGTTGTTAGCTTTGTAAATTAACTGAAAATTTTCCTCAAAACATGATATTAATATAATATTTTCAGAATTTGTCTTGAACTTCTCCCTTTTGTAGCTTCAAAGTATAATAAAACACTTACTGTGGATAAAAAATACATCTCGAAATCTATACTATATTCAAAATGCACACATATTTTAATAAATGTAATAAATCTGGCTACAGCATTGCACCAAACTGAAATCCCTACATGTGCTTTTAAACATCTTTTGTAGCCCAGCCTGGATGAATTTGGTTTGACCACCGAAAGATGTTTTTGTCAAACAGTTTCTTATCCTAAAACACAAGACTTTACAGAAAACAGAGAAATATTGGTAAGGCTTTAACAACACGATCAAAGTAATCTGTGTGCCACTGTGGCTGTGTACCCGATGTGCTGCTGCCACAGACTAGTCTAGACACTTTTCCTCCTTCACTGCAGTTGTCTGCAGACAGTGCAGTCATATGACTTGGGGAGAATTCCTCCCTCCTTTCAGTGTCTGCTCTTTTAGGGCAAGATGGCTGCTAAAGTATTGTTGCAACCCATGACGTATATATATGAATCAACGTAAAGGAGGAAAACGGTGGCAAGAATGGTCACACGTCTTATTATAAATGACACCAACATAGAAGGGGTAGTGAATATCAGCTCTTTTCACTGACTTTTTTCAAACCTACATTTATTGTAATCGTCAGCTCAGTTATTTCTTTGGTCGATTATTGATTGCTACTAGTTAGCATCCTCAGATCAGTGCAACCCAGTAAATGGAAAGTCGCAATGTTTTTGTGCAGTTCTTGACTATCTGAGAGCTTTCCTCCCCACTTCTTTCTCTTCTGCTGCATGCCGGTCTTTTATAGGGACGCTTGGTAGCCATTTTGTCTGATTCATCACTGCATAAGGCTTGCAGGGTATTCCAAAATTTGTCGTGCAACTACTCAGCATTTCTGAGCATTTGGCCCAGCACCTTCAGAAGGCTGTGGTCTCAACAGGAATACGCAGTACAAAATGCAGTCGTGTTCCAGTGTTGTTGAAAATGAAATTTGAGAGTGTGAATGTTTATATTTTTGTGTTCATAAAAAATCCAGCGAGTCTTAGACAAATAGTGGCACTAAAAAGTAACCTAACATAGGAGAAACCATTACTTGGAATAACAATGTAGTCTGTAAGATTATACTTTAGTTTTTATGATTTGTAATTTTTTATTTTAAAGCTTTTGTCGCTTTAGACTTGAATGAGTCTTGTATTAACAGCCAGTGTGTTCCTACCACAGGTAGTGCTGTAAAGTGGAATGCACGATAACAGAAGAAAAAAAAAAGTTTACAATGTCTTTGGGAGATCCATTGCTTCACCTGAAGTAGATATTGATTTATAACAGTGGTATTACGCTATTGAAAAATAGTAGCAGCGGTAGTAATGCTTTACAGAATCCCCTTTAAAGAGAGGGAGGCAGGCAGTATTAACTTTGACTTGTAAAAGTGCTTCAAGCCTTCCTCTGACATTACGAGTTATTTCCACTGCTTAAGTCTGTGATGTTTATCTGTTTGCCATATCAGTGACCAGCCTGGACAGATCTCTTCATTAACACCTACTTAGTGCATACTCTTCTGATGTCTGACGGCTTCTTTAGTCTCATCCTTTTCAGGTGTTTTTGTGAGCTTGTTGATCATGTAGCCACATATAAAACATGCAGTATTTTTGCAGGCCTGTCCCTAACCTGAACCAGTGTCTGACAAAAAATGATTGGAAATGCAATTAGAAAGGTAAGAAATGCGCGCAAAGCAGTCTTATATTTCTTTTTGATACCTTTTTTTTTAAAAAAAAAAAAAGTGATTTACCTACAGTAGCACAATAGCACAGAATAGCGAGCCATTTTGGGGGTGTATGCTACACAGAATAATACGTTACTGATTCATTTTCAGATTTTTTTTGTTCTTTTTTTTTTTTGTAATGCAGTTTTAGTGAAATGTCTTACTTATTATTTGTAACTGTGACCACAATATTAATTAAACGAGTATTTATTTAATCACTACTAGCTCCAATCAAACTGTAAATTAAAGCGATGCATCGCTTAAAGCTAACTTCAAATAAAATCATTCCTAAATTATGTCTCTGTAATTGTGTCAGCTACCATAAAGTAAATAACGATTGCAGCTTAAGTGTTTCCGCACAATTACGATTTGTTTTTAAACTGTTTCAACCACACTTACCGTCTAGCCAATATGGCATTTATGTGTGGTGACTTTTTAACCGCAGACTTAGTTGGAATAGTTTGAAGAAAGCTGTGATAAACAAGAAAAAAACAAAGTGTTTAATTTAATCCTTGGCATTTCAGTTTTCTGCTGTGTTCTGTGTGGTGCAAAAGAACGTGAGCGTTGACTAAGACACACAGTTGTCCTGTAATGCTTTTTTTTTTCTTTCATTTTCACAGGAGAGCCCTGGTTTCTTGAAGTCTGTCATGCCTTCATATGTTTGACCCTGAAGTGTACCCGCCCAAATGGTAAGATCTGTGTTGACCTGTTCATTAGAGCACATTTGGGCACGTTTAAAGTTGAGAAAAGCAATTCAAGGAATGCTTTAAGGTGCTGCAGTGAGTGAATGCGATTGCCTGAGGGAAATATCAGTCCGCTGCACACCAGCATTTCCAGAGCTTGAGCTCCTGCCTGCAATGCCAGTTCTGCATGATATGATGGTGAGAATTGGCTAATCAAATCCACTGCTGTCATTCACTATTTTTTTTATTTAATTTTTTTTACCAACACACATTTTTGATCTCTTCATAATATAATCATAGATATGGATCTTATAACTTATACTTGAGGCTTTGACTGGAAAATGCTGATGCAAGAGGCGCTCTGAATCTTCATCCTGTTTTTCTATTGGATGATTGTCTCCACCCACAAGTGCAGTCACGAGGTCTAGCATCATGATGATGTCTGGGAAAAACAGGCTTTTCGTGGGTTATTTCTGTGCACATACAAACTAAAATCTGAGCCTGTTTCAAAGCATTGCTCTGTACAGCAGCAGCACCTGCCATTGTCTCCTGTAAATGGTGGGATGTTTAACTCACCAGGCTTTTGCTACGTAATGACGCAGTTTCCTTTGACAATGGTGTGGCATTTTTTTTTCTTTTTAAATCAAGGTTTTCTCTGTATTTAAGATGTCTCCTGGCAGTCTGCCAAAGCATGGATCCATTTCCCTTTTCTCCTCTAACAGCTGCACAGCTGTGACCCTCAGCCGGTCTTAGCCATCGATATCGCAAAGCCATCAACGTCCATCTTAGGTTTAGGCACTGACAAAAGAGAAGAACTGTAATGTAGCCCGTAGAAAAGGAAATCTGAGCTCTCGGCATAAATCCTAACAGAAAATGGCACAACTTGTATGAACTAAAACTTTCCAGTCAAAGAGATTTATGGGTATATGTGAAACGTACTTTTAGCGTAGTAGTAGTAGTAGTATTTTAGTTTGTCTTTTAAAGTTTTAATTTTTGTTCAGTGCAGCGTGTTTTTTCTTATTGCCGTAATGCTTTCTTTTTTCATTTCCTAATGTTTAAATTGACTTTTAAATGTTTTTGATGCCACGTTTAAGATGATTTACTGAAAATGCTCATCACCTCAGATTTAAATCAAAAGTATTAATTAAGCACCAGCGTAATATATTCTAATAACGTACTATTAAAAGTTTAACATGGAATACATGCTTTAAAATATAACGTGCAATACACATATTTTGTTATTTGTTATTTATTGATGTCTATCAGACTTAAATGACGATCACTAACTCACGCCATGTAAATGATTATTCGAGAGAAGATTCTGAAGCAATAACTGTTTGTTTGATTTTTGATTTTAAATTTTATTTGCTCTGTAAATTGTCGAAAAGTTCTAGGCATTCGGCGAAAATAAAAACGCGCATTAAAATAATACATTTACACGATTAATAAAATTGTTTTTTTCAGCGTGTTGTGCATCTTAAACCTTTTATATTTTTTTGTAATAAAATTTTAGCAGCATTAACGGTTTGATAGCAAATTTATTTCTGATTTGTACGATTATTACGCATTGTTCGTATTTATTGAAGTTATTTTTAATCGTTTATTTAAACACAGTTCGTTTTTATTTTATTGAGCAGAGTGTATAAATCTCTAGTGTAATAAAATATTGTTTGTATATTATAGAATAGCATAGAAAAGTTATGCTTATTGACGCTAAATTATATTAGAGCGATATAGTGCTGTATTTTTGTGTGTGTTAGATTTCAGTCAGGCTCTTATAAGTGATGCATCTTTTTAATGAAGTTGTATGAGCTAATGACTGCACTGGAAAGTAAAGTCCACCCATTGCAACGTTTATTTTAAATGTACTGTATAAAAGGATGTAGAACTGCTAGTTTGTCTTACGAAACTATTTAGTTAACCTTTACCCACCCACTGAATACTTGTTTTCCTCCACTTATGTAAAGCCACACTGTATTCTGATGCCATGTAACACAACAGTGGCTGTCAGTAACATTAAGCTGGGTCTGTGCTTTGTTGCCATTAAAATAGAGAGAGGAAAAGGGACTTTGGATTTATGCATGTGTTTAGGTGTTATGAGGCCAGGAGCCAGGTCAGAATTACCAAACCTATAGATTAATGTCAGACCTGTTAGATTTTGTTATAAAAAATAATTAAATGAATTTTAAAAAATGTATGAGCCACACTAAACCATATTAAGTTCAGCTTATGCATGCAGGTGGTTTAGATAGTTTCCACTTGAAATTATGATTACTAAAACTAAATTATTTCAGCTGAAATCCTGATTGCGTCGAACACTTATTAATATTTATTATTGGTTCATTTGACTGCAGATGCTTTTGTTAATAAGCCTAAATTGTTTTCACCGTTTTGATCCAATGTTACTCTTCAAAATGTTTCTTTAAGTGTTTCCATTAAACCTTAATAACAGAATAATAAAAAGCTGTTTATCTGGTGAATTTTTCTGTCGTTTTGAGCCAAAATAACATTTTTGAAGTATTGAATTGATCTTAGGTCAACAGTAGGATCTTGGCTTGGAGATAACAGACCTTTTTTTTTTTTAATTTTCTTTTATTTTAAATCACTAAAGAATCACAGTCTGCACACACTCACTGAGGTTGTGAATGTAATCTGCAGCTACAACATCATATCACATGAATATTAGTTCTTCATTAGCAGAAGGCTGCCTGCCTGAAATTCCACATTGACTTTAATGTAAATGTCACAGTTATTTCTGAGAGTTGTGAAGGTAAGTAAATAACCTCTTTTCGTTGACTGGAGTGTGTTTGCTTGCATTTGTTACAACTAGCTGTGATCCAGCCAGTCTTAAGATGTGCACACGCAGCATGTCTGTTCCCACTCAGCTGCGTTGCATTGACAGCTTCAGCAGTACTTCCTGGTTTCATTTGATTGCAAAACCACCACTGACTTTTAAATGGAGTGTGCTCATCTACAACACCCTCATAAACGATACAAACAAGGTCATAGGGCCTGGTGATCACTGCTTGATTGCACTGCAAGGCTGTATGCTTGCTTATAGTGAGCAACAGCCTCAACAAGTACTTACCTTCTGGGAGGAAACTTTTGGGTTGAGGTGAACTTCTGCTTGTGTAACTCTTTCTCTGAGATGTCAACACATAGGATATTACAGTGGACTATGGCTTTGAAAATGACCTTAGTTATACAGTTTGTTTGTGTCAAAAGACATGTATGCTTTTACAGTAGTGTTTAACATATTGCACAATGCTTTTTGGAGATTATATTGTTTGTAACAGTATTCGGCTTTCTAATGAAGGTTTGAACGTGCAGTAAATGGTATACCAGTGCAGTAGTCACTATATAAAGCTTGACTTGTATCATTATTAAAGGACAGATTTTTGTAATTAGGAAGACAAAACACATTCTTATTGTGACGAGTTATTAGATATTGTTTTGTGCATATTTTAATCAAGACATCTTCTAAAATTGATAGCTGCTTGGTTGATCAACTACTATCACCATGAGTGAGTATAAACATCTGGTAAGATGATAATATGGCAGTTCGAGAGCCCTCCTTGCCTCTGTGTAATATAGTACACATCGCCATCGTCTACAAATTTTGGTTATTTTAACAAAAGACATACTTGGGATAAAGTGTAACTTGTTGCATTAACTTTATATTCACAAAAATGAAGACGTAAGAATAAATCTGCAAAATAATTTTATAGTGAAAAGTCAGAAACGTCATTTGTGGACTAGCCAGTAGTTTGGTGCAAATAGTATGTAGAGCAGATCGGTGTGTATGTTACTGCTTTATATTTTTGTCATTTGTTTCATATCTTACAAAAACTGCTTCGTTAACATACAAAAGCATTAAAATTTCACCACTGCGGTGGCTTTGGTAAAAGTTTCCCTCAAAGCTGGATTTCTGAGACTTGAGGGTGCACTTGCATTTTTCCCTAATTGGGTCTTATTTTAACACACCTGGAATACCTGCTTTCATTCTGCCATTTGACCTTTTGTGAATTAAGACGGCAAGACAGAGTTAGAGCTCATCAACCCTGCGGTACATCATACTGAGGGAAGGCTGCACCATGACTAATTAGTAAATCTCACTTCTCTCTAAGGTGAAAAACTGATTTCCTTTGCAGAGTGTGGGGGTTGATGAGTAAATACCCACCTGCACTAAGTTGCAGTAACCTAATAAGTCTCCCTGGACTTTGAAAGTGAATATTTCATATTTCACTTATCTCCAACAGCTTTTCTGCATGTCTCATATCTGACTCCCAAACCTTAAAAGATGGGTAAGACTGCACCCACAGACTGCAGGATCTCTCTGTCACACAATGGCGTGGAAAGGTCAGGCCTAATGAAGTCGGGGGTTTGACCCCTAGTATTCAGTGACTTTGCATGGGCTCCCATCCCACTGCTGCAACCATGCCGGTTAATCCCTTTTTGATCCTAATTGATAGGCATTAACATGATCCTTATCCAGGAGCTGTGTTTTGTCTTCCACAGCCCTTCTCTCTGGGTGTCAGTGACACAAAGTGTGAAAGCGTTAAACCAAATGTGAAATTGATATTTTTCATGTTTGTGTGCTTAAACTCAGGCTGGGTTTTATGAACACTCATGCAGAAGTCCTCAGTGTTCAATGTTTTGCCCTTTGAGACTCTTAACAGGACTTAGCATATAACCTCTGGAATCCGACTGTGATGTGAATGGTACCAGCCCATTTCCAGTTTGTTTTCCTTTGAGTCCTTTTATCTTCATTGCTAGGTGATTGCTTCCTTTAACTATTTACTAATTACCCTCTTTAAAATGTTTGCACAGTCTTTAAGTCAGGGTACATGTCACTTTTATGAAAGCACAGATGCTGCAAGACTTCAGAAATGCAGGCGGCATCAATTCTTCAGGGTTTCTTTTGACTTTGATTTTATTAGTCTAGTATTATATAAGATTCATTTTTTTAAATTCCAGCTGTCAATTTCCAACTCTAAAAATACTTA